ATATGAGTGTGATGATTTATAATTGCGTTATGTTGTATGATGATATTGAAAGCTTTTCTTTGTCTATATGCAAATCTTTGCAATTTTAAGTATAATATATATATATATATATATATATATATATATATATATATATATATACATAGGTGGTAATATATAAATGATGTAGTTTTATATAGTTATTTAAGAATATCAAACATTTTCAGCAATAATCCACTTGTAGTTCAGTTTTCCTTAGAAGACATTTATCACTTTCATGTAATTTACTCAAGTATTTTTGAAAAAAAAATATTTTCGGTTTTTTTCGGCAAATATGATTTAGTTTCGGCCGAAACCGAAAAACGGCCGAAACTGAAATATAACATTCGGCCGAAACCGAAAAACGGCCGAAACTAGAAAAATTGGCAGTTTCGGCGCCGAAACCGAAACCGAATTTCGGTCGGTCTCTAGTGGTAGGAGTAACTTCTCCAGAAGAAACAAGTTATTGTACTTGCTGCAACTGTTACTGATATATCTTGAGTTTGAAAATGGTGAAAAATTATTCACTTAAAATTTAATCAACTTCAGGCACGAAACCAGATGAAAATACTGCTGGGACAACATCAACTTCATCATCAGCATCATTGGCAGCAGCAGCAGCAGCAACAACAACGGCAGTTTCAACATCACCAGCATAGCATCATTGGCGGTGGTATCCTCACAGCCAGCAACGCACATCGACATCAGCTCTAGCAATCACGAAGCTTTCAACATCCGAATCGCCAGTAGTGTCAACAACACCATCAATTCAACAAAAATTCGCAATCTTTTTGTAGTTCAATGTTTATGTTAATTTTGTCATGAATTATAAATTTACTTAAAAATCGTGCTAGAATAAATTTTGTTTTCTTTTAGCTTTGGTCTCCTAATCATTACCTAATTATTATTAATTTGGATTGAATGAATAAAATTTGATTTGATTGGATTTAATATATAGGTAGGTCAAGGTTCGATTAAAATTAAAATTAAATCAAAAACGACATTAATATGCGTTCCATTTTAATTAGACATGCGGCCGTGTACAATAGCTTTCATCTTTCATAGCATCAGCATTATTTTCGTCATCCATCCATATCAATTTTTATTCGTTTATAATGAAAGCAAACGTCATCATTATATTATCATGATAATTTTTCTTGGGTTGTATCTTTAACATAATAACCATATTACATACATTTAATTATGCTATAAGCACACACACACGCGCACGCACACACACACACACAAATACACATAACGCCAATTATTAAATGGTCCTTCGGGTTGAATGCTTTCTGAACTAAGGCTCTAACACATGAGTGGGCAAACTACGACCCGCAAGGTTATTTCATGCGATCCGCGATGCCTTGTTCGCCAAAATAGTCGCCAGCCAGTCGCGGCCCTTCGAAGGTAAAATAGTTCTCAATGCGGCCCTCACAGCAAAGAGTTTGCCCGCTCCTGCTCTAACATTTATTTTTTGGTTCTATCTTGAAACAAAATGGTGATTTTTAACTGTAGTTGTTGATAATCAATTAGCACTAATTAATTAATTGATTTGCATTATTTGGAAAATAAATGAATTAATTAATGATAATTGAACAGATTGTTGGGTTTATTTTAAGGGACCTTCCCACCAATAACAAATCTCGTGCCGATTTTATGGAGAACGCAACCCCGCCTACCACATGCGTTGTGTTGTGTGTATGTGTTGGTTCGCGTGCACATGTTAATGATACTTCTAACAATTAATTACTGAAGAATTAGTAATAATTTTTAAGATAGTATTCTAAAATCTTGTAACTTTACTTTGTATTCGATTTAAACTATCAACAAACGAAAGACAACTTTTCAGGTACATTCTTAACATTCTTAAAATAAGTTAGTCTCAACTTTTAAAATCAAACTTTCAAAAATGTTATTAATGTTTTAAATGTAACTTTTGCTGCGCTTTTAAATGATTTTACAAGATACTTCAGTTTTCTTAAATCAACTGTCACTCTATTATTAATGTAGTCGGGTTTTGAGAAGAAACGAAGATGTAATAGAAACTGTAATAAATTTCATTCGAATTTTATGAAAACTTTGGAAAATTAGTGAAAATTTGTTTAAAAATAACAAGTGAACCATCTTTAATGTGTGCGTGTTAATTTAAAACTGAAAACAGCGTTATACTACTACTACTACTAAACTTATTATTCTCATTTGTCTTCTTATTACTCTTGTTTTTACTATTTCTTGTGCTATTGCTTGACTTAACACGAGAAGAACTAAGTTATCTTATGTAAATATTGAAAGATCTAATGAATGAAAAGTTTGTTGTTAGTTGTTTGCAAGCGTCCGTTAGTATGTGCGTACACTCGTGTAGAATGATAATGCCTTACAACGGATCTGCAAGTGTAAAAAGAGCAATATAGAGGCAACTAAATGACTTTAAGTGAAGACAGAATAATCAACAAACACAACAAAATCAACAACAATATTTAGAGTTAACTACATGATACGTAATATAACATTTAATAACTATTTTAATACTTATTGGAAACAAACTCAAGTTAAATCCTGACACTAGTTCTGACTCACCCTCTGCAAAATCAAATGGTGTGCAATAATAAAAGCACCAGCAGAATATTGCTACAACTAGATAGCAAGTTTGTGTGCAGTTCTACAAATCAAACATTCTAATTAAGTCAAATATTGAAATTTCTGTAACACTGACACACATAGTTTTGTGAGTAAAGTCAAAAATACGTCACGCTAGCACTAGCCAGAAATATTAAAAATGTGTGAGCCATGATTGTTTAAAAGAATGAAAGCTGAATGTCAGAAGTTGTATTGGTGTTATTTGCAAGTTTATTCCGTTTATGAATTAATATATACGTGTACAATGTTTGTAATTAATATTTTATATAAATAAGTAATATAAATTTTATTTTAATGTTTGTAATTTATACAATTTCGTTGAATTTAACAAATTTTTTTATTATGTACAATTTTTCAAATTTTTAAAATAATTCTCTTTGAAGATGTATTTTTAAAAATAAAGCTGCAAAACCTTTGTTAGCTTTTGAGGTTTGATTTGAATCTAAAATTTTTGGACAATGAAATATTTGTTGACTACTAAAGCCGTTATGTTGGGTATGATTTTAACAACATTCTTTTTAGCTAAACTTCCATATTACATTTTATACTGAAAACTATTAGACACGTTTAGAATTGCGAATCGTGATGCAAATTCCTTGCAATATTTAAATGAATCTGTTCGCTGAAATGAATCTTCTTCACCGAATCAAATGAAAGAATTTGCTCGAGAGTTAAACGCGGAAATATTTCACAATAGGCTAGAAATTTAAAAAAAAACGTATTAATTTTTTTATTAGATTAAGACAAAATTTGTAGTTTGAATCTCGTATTAAAAGCAGAATTTTTAATACAAAGTTGCCAAATTTCATCAAGCTAAGGCTGCTAAAATTATTAAACATGAAATTTTTTCAAAAAAATTACAGAAATACATTTTTATGGAGAGCTGTAGAACTAAAACAGTTTCAATCTCTACTTTGATTGATAATAATCTGAGAAAACAATGCCTCTGTTTGCTTTTTTTGATCATTTATTAAACAATCAGATGTTAAATTACAAGTTTTCTGAATATTATCAGCGGGATTCATGTTCCTGTGTGTTTCTGCAACTGACTACTGCATACGGAACTCTTGCTACCACTGTAATCCATCATATATCAAATTTCCTGAATGTCAATCTTACTGCCGGTCGCTCGGCTCTGAAGTTCTTGAAATCAGAAGTCCTGAAACAAACCCGACGATGAAAGACATTTTTGGAAACCTCGAATGTTATTATGGTTGGTTGAATGTTTATCTTGAAAACGGAACATTCCACTGGATATCTGATTGCAGTGAAGTTTCTTTGGATTTGTTTAACAACTACCCGCTAGAAGCTGGATACATATATTCTAAATTTTACAAAAGAGGAGAGATGGAACCAGCTATTGATTCAACTTATCCGTGCGTTTGCTATAACAGTAGTTGGTGAAATTTTTTCATTCATTGGAATATTTCAAATGATTAAACTCATTTATGCAGCTGATGATCCATTTTTATTACAGCAAGCAAGAGCAGTGTATCATTTTGTTTACCCTCTGCTACTGCAACATCAATGACATCAACAGTTGTTCTGAGTACAACTACATCAACAGCAATGACGAATGATACTACATCGCAAAATCTACTGTTGTTAGGAAGCCTGGCTCCAATTGACTCAGTGATTATCTGTGTAACTATATCTGTCTCTGCTGCATTTATAACTTTAATGTTCTTGTACGGTTGTCTTGCGTTAAAGTTGAGAAGGATTTCTAAAAATTAAAATAAATTGAGATTTAAAGATAGGTTTCATTGCCAAAAATTCGACCTAATGCCTTGTCTTTATTTTATAAGACAATAAACACCTAGCTGAAGTTTCAAGATGTTTTTTTCTTCAATTCGAACGATGTGAAATGTTCTTGAATGAACAGCAAAACTTTGTAAAGTGATCTAGTTAGCTATATCTTTTGTCTGATATGATCCAGCTATAATTTTGATCTATAATGTTTATAGTTGTTTTAATTAAAACGTCCATTCGAACATTTAATACTTGTGTTCGTGTCATACGTTTAACATTAATAAATTACATAAAGATTTCACTATTTTTAACAAGATAACCTAATTTTCACAAAACGGACTCTTATTAGTTTACATTATACTTGCAGCCTCAGACAATCTAATCAAAATGAGAAATTGGGGTTAGAACTCTTTAATGAAAAATTACGGTAAATTGTCAAAAAATAACGAATAAAGTAGCAGTCTAAACAAAACAAAACGAAACGAATATTTTTATTTGCTTCCCAAACTAATTAACTTCCCAAAAGTATTAACTTTTGTCCCCCTCCATTGTATATTAGATTATTATTTTACAAATAAACACACACACGTACATCATACACACACACACAAACAGTCACACACAAACACGCACATACACACAGATGATTAAAAGATTGATCCGGTATATAACAATTGCAAAAAATGCGACCAAAAATTAGCATATCTCCATATCCACATTTTAATTTTTATGAATCAGTATATTTTTACATTCATATTTCTTGCAATAATAAGCAGATGGCATTTTAATGTTATCCAAACCCTTGCTTCCAAATCCAAACCCAAGAAAGACAGCTTGCTTTGGCAAGCTTCATGTGCAGTTTTCATCTGTAATTGTAGTTGTTCAAAGAGTTTTTGTTAAATTATTTAATTTTTCTATTTTTTATTCATATTTATTAGTGTGTGGATTAGGGTGATGAAGATTTGAAATGGGGTTTTTAAGATCCTAATTGATTGGTTTTGTGTTTGTGATTACTAAACATTTTTCTATTACAGATTGACAAAGATAAAATACATTTTTACAGAATATAACAAACAAATATTCTAAATTTTATAATATTTTAACTAAAATAATGATTCAATCATTCAAAAGTTTATAATACTTCATATTATTGTAACAACTAACAAGAATTCACATTAACAAGAGCTTCAATTTTGTTTTACTTACTAACCCGTTCTTCTTGAATTCAAAAACCAATCCAATTTCTTCAATTCAAACAAAAATATTAATGTTTACAGTATCATAATTGACAAAAGCACTGGAAATCATACCTCCATGGGCTGGATATTGCAGTTCTAACCGCTGTTATACATTTTACAAAGAAAGATATAGTAGAATGGCACCCGGGAAAATATTTTATAAATCACTGAACAAAAACTTCTTGAGATCAAATCTCAAGATTTTGAAATAGCCATTTGAAACACTAAAGCTTCTTACAACGATCTAACATTCAGATCAGTGCGTTTTCGCTAAATGCTTACTGAGTCAATGAGTCATTTTTCTGAAGATCTGACGATGGTATAGTGGAAAGATTTTATTTTCCAGGTGGCGAAGAAGAACTCTTTGATGACACGGCTGGTCCTCCCATGCGGTTGAATGAGTCGATGAGTGTAGGCATGTTTTTTTGTTGGGAAATATAAGATGTTTTTCCATATTCAACAAGAGAATTGTTAACATTACTGAATATTTTTTCATAATTTGTTAGTTTTCACGTTCAAATTAGTAATAAAATTTAATGCGAACTAAACATTGCAATAAGTAAGAGGAATCAAATTTTTTGACATCTACTTTAGCCAATACAATTTATAAATTTCGTACAGTACAAATTTCGTACAGTAGGGAACTACAAATCTATCAAAATCTATCAAAATGAAACAAAATAAAAACTTATTTTAAAATTAAGCAAACAAGTTAAGCATACATACATGCATACAACTTAGATGTAACATTTTGAGTAAACATATTAGCGTCTGATAGCAAGCTATTCAAGCCTTTTATTGTTGCCTGCCTAAACAATACTACGCAACTTGATAATCTAACTGCTCTAGCTAACAATAGACTTAATAGAAGTGGTGTATCCTTTACTCTTTTTCAAATTCGATTCAAATCATAAAATAAACATCACAATAAACGTTTCAATTTCGTTCTGGGAGAGTACTTTATAATGATATCCATGCCGTGAATGTGTTTGTATATGCATGAGTGTGTGTGTGTATGTGAGTGTATGTATGTGTATGTGTGTATGTGTGTGTATGTTTGTTTGTGATGTGCGTGACCGTGCGTGTGAGATTTAAATCACCGCGAATCTATTCCTTCTCTATCGAACGTTAATATCAGCCAAGCGTTTAGATAGATTAGGACTCTTTTATAACATTTGCACATATGAATCATATGTAGCTATAGCTAACTATTATGTTATTTGGCTTATTCATCTTTTGTTAGTTTGTTAGAATACAAAGTTTACTACAAATTTCAACTCGTTTAGACAAATTTAACTTTTTGGATAAGAATTATGTGTTTAGAACGAATGTGTTTAGTTTGTTTGCCATTTTGGTTCAATCAAAATATGAGAATAGTTCTGTAAAAATTTAACAAGATAAGACAAATTTAAAAAGTTTAAATGCTTGGTAACAAAGAACATTTGTTAGATTAACGATTTTAAAGTATAAAAAAAAATAGAATTATTTTCTAGCAGCTAATGACGAGGTTTTTTCCACATTGCCAACTGTTGCCAGAATTCACGATAATGGCAACATCATCCACACCATACTCATCATACATACCATCAGAAGCAGCAGCAGCAGGAGAAGCATTGACATCGTCGTCAAAAACGCCATCATATGCGTCAGTGACAACATCTTTAATGGAAATTTATTTAGTTGTCATCGTCATGTTGACATTTGTCAATCCTTCAATTTTTTAATTTTTTTTTACTATATCGATAAAAAAGCTTTTTTTAAAAGCTTGAAATTTTAAATTTTTAATTTGAAGTTTTTAAAAGCTTGCAATTGTCAAATTATTAATAAAATTAGAACATAAACTTTACAGAAATAACTGTGAAAATGAATGGGCGGAGAGAAAAATTTCGAGAGAAAGATGACTTACTGTATTTATTTTTCAACGTCCGTACAAAAACGCGCAGTTCAATTTCTGCAACGAAGCCCGTGTCAATAAAGTTTAAGACGAAAGAGCAAATTTTAATTTAAATAAATAATAAAATGATTCCCTAGAGGACAGTACTTAAACATACTTAGTTAAATGCTTCTAGTTATATAAATCAAACAGTGAATCAGTTAAATGTATACTATCTAAATCTATATCTAAATGTCCGTGTATATAGAGGATATAAATTGTATTGATACATACAAAATGAATGTCATACATGGTATATATGAGATGTACCCATACATATTCAATTTGTTCATGTGTGTATAAATCTGCGAGCTATGTTTAGTTGAGTTTTACAATGTTATCTTGATTGGCGTGGCAGTTGAGCGTGCTATTGGCTGCCGTCACATAGGACGCGTGGCTTGTTTCAAATGCCAAAAACTGATTGGATGGATTGTGAAACGTGATGACGACGACGATGTGGGTGAGTTTTTTCAGATGATAACGGTGATGATAAAGATGATAATAGTGATAATGATGATAATAATGACTGAGATGTAGATTGAACTCATTAGAAAATACATTAAACTAATTCGAAGGTCTATTAATTATAAGATACGACATATCTCAATAAAATTGTTGATCGAAATATGAATTTAAAATTTTATTTAAATTAATTTTTTTTTTTCTACAAAATTATCAGATAACTTGAATGAATATTCCATCTTCTGCGTGCCAGATGGCGGTGTTAAACTTGATTTCGTTGATATTTATACTCATGAAATGAAAGTCTAAAAACATTTTTATGAGCTTGATTGATGAACAACAGGGCCAGACTTAAGGAAGGGTAAGCTGGTCTACCTCTGAGACTTCCACAAAAATGGGATCTCCCCCGGAACGATCACGTAGCATTACTATAAGAAACTCCAGTGAAACAGAAAAAAAGGCTAATTTTAGAACGAATTTTCAGTAATTGAATACTTTTTACACCATAAACTGATCAAATTAAAGATTTCTACAAATCAATAATGGATGTGACAACAAACAAATACAGACTACCCTTAAATACTTAAAGACTTCTACTTTTTCGTCACTCCAACGATTTAAATTAATAATAATAACATGTTAAATATAACTATAAGCATGCATGTATGTAAGAAAAATCACTGCAGAAGTGAGTTGAGCTTAAAGGCTATTAATAAATCACCAAACACACACGCGCACGCACATACACACACAGACACACACAAGTATAATATTTTCGTTTTATCATTAGTCACCATCCTAAACACTTAACTATTCTGAAATTTCAAAATTACTCACAAACTTCCTTGTAATTATAAGCCAATAATAAAGTAACATTTAAACTTCCAGTAATTAATTTTTTTATATAAATATTTATAAATATTCATCTAACTTTGAAAGTTTACAAAAACTCTGTATCAACGTCTGAAAAGTTTAGAAAAAACTCCTCTCTTTTCGATTGGATTTCTTTTTAACGGTAACGGTAAGCCTTCGATAATATAAGATGCACTTACATTTTCAGCGCTTGTGCCAGATGCAGAAACATAAATATTATCGTCGTCTACAACTTCGTTATTTATTATCATCCACAATGCTGTCTAAATCAAACTTGTAATTAACGTCAGCCAATCGGAGCAGGCAGTCTGTACTCCCATTATTCTTGAAACTTTCGGTAGCATTGTCACAAATAGTTTCATCACTTTTTGATATTTTGAAAATTCATGAATATGTGTAACATTAACCCAGACAGACAGACAGTCAGTCAGCCAGACAAACATAAAAATAACCAAAATTTCAATTCAGCAAATCATTTAATTTATATATTTTAATTATATTCCGCAAAATTAAACCTAAAAAATGTATAAAAATTGCACCACTAACAAAAGATTTCTCTGCTTTTGGAGGTGCCAACTTATGTAACGTGTGATACATACCAAGATGATGATCAACATGATGAAACCGGTGCTAAAAATCACCACAAGTATATGCCAGCCGTGGAAAGAAGAATCCGATGATGATGGCGACGATGAAGGATTCAAATCCATTGGTGTTATAGCTTCCATGGTTATTTAGATGTAATGCTGTTTGAGATCCAAATATTCTAGCTGTATTCTAGAAAGTTTCTCATATGTTATTAAAAGTATTTTAAAATTATAAAAACATCTCTTTTCAGCACGATAAAAATTAATTTAACTAATCATCCTTTGAAACAAGTTAGGCATATACAAAATATTTGTATTAAATGTTATATTATATAAATAAAAATTTATAAAAGTTCAACCGTTAATTTATTTAAAAAAATTAACTCAAAATCTTCAAACATCCGAATTTTGATAAATAACAAAAATTTATAATGAAGACTTTTTGACAATCAGCTGTTCGCTTTATGATTCATAATAGGAAACGAAACAGCTATTCATTATTATTCAACATAATCATATCGAGTTATATATCTTAACAATTAAATTTATATATGTGTGTATGTCTGTGCGTGTGTGATATGCATGTATGTGAGTCATCGTGTGTGTGTGTGTGTGTGTGTGTGTGTGTGTGTGTGTCATCGTGTGTGTGTGTGTGTGTGTGTGTGTCATCGTGTGTGTGTTTGTGTTTGTGTGTGTGTGTGTGTGTGTGTCATCGTGTGTGTGTGTGTGTGTGTGTCATCGTGTGTGTGTTTGTGTTTGTGTGTGTGTGTGTGCAGAAACAACATAGGCACCTAATATGACACAAAACGCCCATTTTTATTTATTAGCTTGTTTGTGTATGTGCCTACATGTATGTATGGAATGTGTGTGAAAGGGAAGCGAGAGAGAGAGAGAGAAATAAAGAGAAAATGAGATAGAGAGAGAGAAGTGTGTGTATATGTGTGTTTTGTGCGCGTGTGTGTGTGTGCATGCGTGTGTGTGTGTGTGTGTGTGTGTGTGTGTGTGTGTGTGTGTGTGTGTGTGTGTGTGATGACGAAACTCATTCTTAGCGTTTAAAATCTTGGAAAATGTTCCAAAATTAAATAAGTATTATATTTTAATTGGTCATAATTATCATAATTTCCATAATTATTCATCTTATTTTGAAAAGCAATTATTAAATACGCGAAATGCTATTATTGTTTTACAAAGATCAAGCTATTTAATAACATTACAAGTGTTCTTCATAATTTATCTCTATGTCTTTCTTCAATTATCGCTTGGTCTGACTTTATGTGTCTTAAACTTAGTCCTTCTAAGTTTGAATTAATTTGTTTTAATAAATCTAAACACTCTATTACTATTCCTCCTATTATCTTACCTGATTCTAAAACTCTTGATGTCTCTCATAAGTTTCGTAGTCTAGGTTTTATCTTTGATTCTACTATGTCTCTCTCTTCTCAGATTAATAGTGTTGCAAAAAGTTCTTACATTCATCTACGTAGAATAAAAAAACTTTTGCCTTTTCTTGATGTTCCTACTCTTCTCCTTCTTGTTACTTCGTTAGTCTTATCTAGGATTGATTATTGTAACTCGCTCTACTATGGTCTTCCTGACTCTGTACTCTATCCTTTAAGTAAAGCTTTTAACTCTGCTGCTCGTCTAGTTGCTCGTGCCCCTTTCTTTTCTCATATATCTCCATATCTTGTTCTCTTGCACTGGCTACCTATAAAATATAGAATAATTTTTAAAATTTGCACGTTCATGTATAAGTCTCAATCTAAATTATTTCCTAAGTACTTATCAGATATATTAATTCAACCTAAAAGCCCCGGTTTACGATCGTCTTCTTCTTCTCGCTTTTTCTTAACTCGTGTTAAACACTCTTTCGCCAAATCTGCTTTTGCTTTTTCTGGTCCTTTCTCTGGAACTCTCTACCTCCTTCTCTGACTACTTCTCCATCACTTGCGAAGTTCAGAGCGGATCTCAAGACCCATCTGTTTTCAAAATTCATTGAAGAGCGCTGTTGAACATCGCGGAAATAGCGCTTTATAAGCTAATTGATTGATTGATTGATTTAAAAAATGGAAATGACGTATTATTCACCTCGTTAGCTTCCATGTAGAAGTAATAAATTAATTAACAATAATAAATTACCAATAATAAATTATTGTTTTAAGAATAACAATGATTGTTGTTTGGTTATAAGATGACTCAAATTCTTTCGAGTCAATGCTATGCTATAGTTCAATTCTTGCCGTTAGTTTAGGTACTACAGTACAATTTTTGAAAAAAAAATTTCGGAGGTTATATTTTAAATTATTTTATTTAGGAAATTTTCAAATAAAAAATATTGTCACATAGAGTTTATTTTTGCAAAATTAAATGGCACTTTTATCAAAATATTTGCTTGGTTGAGAAAAAATGTAATGTAAATTAACACAGAGAAAATTCTCTACAGTATTAATAACATGTTTAATAGTGTTAAAATTTGTAATCAAGTTTAAGGTCTTATAGATTTGGGTCTAACTCTAGCATATAACACATAAATGTACATTATTATGTTATAAAGTCATTTTAATAAAACAATATAGAAATCGAAATGGTTGTGAGAATGTTTTGGGAAAAACGTTTAAAAATAGTTAACATGTATTACCTGGTATAAAAATGTAGGTAAAATATGTATTAATTCATTAATATTTACTAAATTTTGCATAAAATTTGATAAAAAACGTTTTTTAAAATTTGAAAATTACATTAGAAAAATTTTGATTTTTCAATTGATTGATTTTTCTCTTATTAAAAATTTCAGTTTAATGTCAATCGTCTATCTTCTTTTCTAAAGCATAGACCCCGTTTGACTTGTTGATGATATTGTAGGTGTGTTCATTGATGTCATTGGCGATGATTTTCCTGTAACCAGCATTAATGTCTGAATGTTCATTCATCTTAATGTTATCATAACTTGATGTTTCGCGCATGTTGTCGTAGTAGAGGCTGTTGATGTTGTTGTTGCTTCGAATCGTGCTGTTGTTGGATTTCAGGTTGTTGTTGTTGTTATAAGAGTTGTTGTCATAAACATCGTCGTCGTTATTGATGTTATTATTGTTAATGTTGTTGTCCATGTTATTGTAGCTAGCGGTAGATGGCTCTTTAGTTTCCCAGCATCTTTATATTAATGATTCATAATGTTAGAGAGATTCTTGACACTAATAGTTGATGTCATATATAGGTTTTTATATTATTTTTAACAATAAAAACGTTTTAATGTCTTTATTGTTATTAGTATCATTATTGTAATTCATCATATCACCGTCGTCGTCTTCACCATCATCATTTTTGTTAATATTGCTTTTACTATAATAAAGGTTAAAGGTTGCTTTTACTATAATAAAGGTTAAAGGTTGCTTTTACTATAATAAAGGTTAAAGGTTGCTTTTACTATAATAAAGGTTAAAGGTTGCTTTTACTATAATAAAGGTTAAAGGTTGCTTTTACTATAATAAAGGTTAAAGGTTGCTTTTACTATAATAAAGGTTAAAGGTTGCTTTTACTATAATAAAGGTTAAAGGTTGCTTTTACTATAATAAAGGTTAAAGGTTGCTTTTACTATAATAAAGGTTAAAGGTTGCTTTTACTATAATAAAGGTTAAAGGTTGCTTTTACTATAATAAAGGTTAAAGGTTGCTTTTACTATAATAAAGGTTAAAGGTTAAAGGTTACTCTTCTCTTTTGCACTTGCTTCAGAGGTTTCAACGACAAACACACACAGCGTATATGAATACGCGAGCAAACCACGCATCATACACATTGCATATGATAGGCAGGGATTTCTTTGTATTCGAACCCAGTCACTGCAGCAGCAAGACCAGGCGCCTTTAACCATTGAGCCATCACGCCATACTTAATTATTATTATTTTTAATTATCAACAAATCCACCTGGAAAGCCATCATCATTAACGTCAACATTGCTGTATTATTATTATTTAATAATAATATTATTATTATTGTTATATTATTGATTGTATTATTAATTATTAAAAAGTTCAACTTACAACTTCTTCCGCTTCCGGGAAAGGAGAATGACGATGACGACGACGATGGGAATGATGATGAGGATGAAGAAGAGATAAAACAATTCTTGGCCTGCACTCACAGACTTTGATGATGACAATTGTAATGATGACGACGACGACGACGATGAAAATAATGGTGATGAAGATGGCGATGAAAATAATGGTGATGAAGATGGTGATGAAGTTGATTGATCGGGAAACTTATCAAGTTTCCCAATTTCACCATCACCGTAACTTGGAAATCCTTTCATCACATCATCTTTAAATTCACCAAAACATATTTTTACAAATTTTAATCAAACATTGCCTAGTAGCAATAATTTTCCGACCTATATTTATCAAAAAATTAGACGCTAACACTGATTTTCAGATCTACATTTATCAGACAACTTACAAGGAAATTTTAATTGAGCAATGCTAACACAATATATTCATTTAATTTTTTTAAAATACTCCAGTACTATTAACTAACCTAAAATTTGAACAATTATAAGAAAAAATCTAACAATATTGGCAGAAAAACCGGTGAAACCTAGTCACATTGTTCGTAGCCTTCAAAAAACACTGAAAATTTGAGGATACTTGAAATGCACCGGTAGAGTTACAATTCAGTAAAATTCCCCTGGATCCTCTTGGGAGTGCTAACACGCGGTACTGAGTCCAATTTATTTCTATTAATTTATTGCTAACATTCCAGTAAAATACGCCTGAAGAATTTTTTGCATTCAGCCAAAATGAGACCTTCGTTAAGTCCGGTATATTGTTGGAAAAAATTTTCATCAAATTCTCTACCCAGTGCATAATTCCAGCGTCACTTGGAGCCATTAACGTACTATTTCTGGTGGCACAGTAGCTTCTTGCACCATCCAGTGTTGTATTCCGTGACGGATAATGTAGGCAAAATCCCTTAGCATTGCAAAATTTCAGTTCTGAATTGGATTTAACGGTTACAGTTGTAAGGATGAAAACTAGGCCTGTAAAGGAGAAAGATGTTGGTTTCAATTTTACATTTAATTTATTTACCAAATATTGAAATAGCGTTTTAAAAAATCAGTTAAATGTTTAATGGAAAATAAATTTCATCAATTTCAAACGTTGACTGTGAAAACTATTAAAAATAATAATAAGTAAATTTATGTTTACGTACGTAGAATCATGTTTAGTTCCATATTTGAAGGTATATTCAACATAAAACACGTAATTAAACACAAAACACTAAAACAAAATCATTTTTTATAACAAATTAGCTCTTAAAATTTTCAAAAAATCTAAAAATTTCATAATATCAAAGGACAAGCAATAGCTATCACAACAACACTGAAACTTCTCTATGTAGATTAAGCTGACGATTTGAAGCAACACAATGGCTTAGTACGTCACGAAAGCTTGGTGTACCACACACTAACAAATAGCTGGCATAGGCAAGGTAAGTGTAACCCATTCATGCTTAAAGTCAATGAAAACATATGAATATTAATTTAGTAAAATTTCTCACCATTTTGAGGTCTCTGTTTGAAATAGTTTTTCGAAGTTTTATGTTAATAATGAAATAGTTATTATGGTTAAACCTGTAATTTTGTCTCTGTGATAAATATTTATAACTTTTATTGAATTAAAAAAAAATTGAATAATGCTATATTGAAATGCATTAATTTAAACAGTAGTCATATAATAGGAATTGAAATGACATATTCTAGAGCACAATCGGAAAATTCAGAATTTAAAGTTTTCGACTTAGCAACAAAAGTTTCTCAGTTTTATACATAAACACGCAGTTCAACTTTGAAAAACATTAAATTTTTTAAAATTTATTCATCAATGTGAGCGTTAAAATTTTCACGGCTAGACAGCTCAGTCGGCAGAAGACGTCAAAAGACTATTGGCGTATGACGCGTGTGTACAAAACGTACAGCCTTCGTCCAGTGTTCGAATTGTGAAAAAAAAGTAGGAGGGTCATAAGGCTTGGCGGGTAAAGTTTTGAATGTACGGGGGTCAAATTTTGACCCTCCAACATTAAAATTAAATGTAAGGGTCTTATTTTAGAGATGGGGGGTAAAACCCCCATAACCCCCCATCAATTCGAACCATGCCTACGTCACTAGTGGCATGAACGTGGGGTCTGTCTGTGAGTACGTACTGTGGTTTGGACGGTAGAGCCTTTGTGGCACGATAGTTTAACTGCAAAAACAACAACGTGCAAGCAGATCCGAGCGCGACAAGGGACGAAAAATGGAGGATAAAAAAATCGCATTCGAGGTTTAGGTCATTTGAAAATCTGCATTTATTTAGATGAAAAAGAAACTTCAAAAAATCTATATACATATTTGGGGTTTCTTATTTTGAGAACAAAATCAATTGAAATGAGTTAAGACATGCATTTTCACACTTCATAATAATAAATTAACAGTCTATTTTCTTCTCTAAAGCATAAATTCCGACAGATTTGTTAATGTCATTGATGTCATTCTTATTGTTGTTGTTGGCATCGTTGATGATACTGAGGTTGATATGGTGGTTTTTGTAGAAGTGGTTGATAGCAATGTTATCATTGGCGTTCATACTTTCGTAAGTTGCATGTTCTAGAGCGATGTTGTCATACGTGATGTCAGTGATGCTGTTGTGGTTATTGATGTTGTGGTTACTGATGTTGTTGTTATTGATGCCACGGTCACCGAGGCTTGAGTTGTTGTAATTGAAATTGTTGTCATAATCAGCGTTGGTGCTTTCGACATCTACGTGATGGACATTTAATGTATTTTGCGTTCTCTTTTTCCAACATCTGTGTATAAAATTTTAAAAATCATTGTAGAAATGTGTTAGTTTAGTTATTCGCGCTGTTTATTTGCAGAAATTAAAAAGTTTATAAACTTAGAAAAGTATTCTTATCAATGAAATCATTTTACTCGTTCAAAAGACTCAAACAACACCAACGTCAAATGTCAAATTCAAGTCAGGTCTTGTCTGCAAAAAATAAACTGAAAAGATTTTTTTTCTATTCTAACAGACAAAGCAAATTTAACTAACAAATAATACTTATTCAACTAGGAAAATTAGACATTTTTTTTCACAAAACTCACAATTTTTGATTTTTCCAAAGAAGAGTAACAACTATCAAAGAAATGATCACAAGGGGTAGAAATAACCCTATCCCCAACCCTAGACCAAGTGGCAGAGGACTTCGAGATGATGCAGACGAAAGATTCGGTGGTGGTGATGACGAGTTAAACGCTGTTGTCAATATTGATGTTTGTACTGTTGATGTTTTCAATTGTGATGTTTGCAATACTGATGTCTTAGACTTTGATGTCATTTTTGATGCTGTGCGAAAACTTGGCGAGGACTTTTTAGAGGAAGCTTGATTAAAAAATGTCAAATTACATGAAAATAAAGGAGTTAAATAATATTTAAACTTCATACCTATGAAAATTCTACAAATTAAAAAATCTAATGACTGTTTATACAACTTATTCAGACAAAGTTGATTAAAGAATGTGAGAGTGAAAAATAATGCTAAAATGAAGGCCTGTCTTAATGAAACTCGATTTTAAGTTTTATGAAATTTCTATCATGAAGTTATATTGACAATATTGCTGTTATAACCAGTCAGAATATTATTTTAAGTTATATTCTCTCATTATAAAATTAAAATTGGATCATAAAATTTAATTTTTCAATTTAAGAAACTTTAAAACTTACTACGGCCACTCATTTTCAAGCAAAAAAGTAAAACTTTTTAAAATTATTATTCTTTTAAGGAATAATAAAAACTTCAACACAAGTTAACATTAACAACTATTAAAATTATTATAATTAAGTTCATTATAACTCAAAATAGTGCTTACAAAACCACAAAATTAATCTCTACACCAACAGGAAAAATAACAACTAACTACTAATACAACAAGTTGCAAGGAAGTTAGCTTCCTTATTGCTAAAATAACAATATCTAAAGCACCCTCAGAGCTCGCTCGCATTGTTTAGCTGTTGCTGCAATTTTAACATAATTTCTTCATACTACAATAACTACTACTACGTCTTTTACTAATATTTACTACTACTACTACTACTACTACTACCACTGCTACTACTACTACAACAACTAATGCTGCTTCTACTGCTGCTACTGCCGTTACTAGTACGACTGCCCTGGCAGTCACTAGCATTTTAGATTCATTCATTTTTAAATCGTTATTAAAAAAAGAAAATCTAAAGTTTAAGCTGTATTGGCAACGAGACGAGTAAATGTGTTTGGCCACTAGTTGAAACTTTTATTATCATATTTAACACTTCAGAAAAAGGATCTTTAACCCAGTGAATTATCTTTATTCAATTGTCTCTGATGAATGAGTGTTGAAGTGGACATTGGAATTGCCGTGGTGAGCGTTGTAGGTAGGAGGCCTCCAGAAATCATCGTCTTTTGAGTTTGACGGCATTTCAAACATCAAAGGATTCTCGTGGTGGTAGGAAGTTTTGCTGAAAAATAAAATGGTATTATAAGTTTTTTTCATCTGAATAAATATAAACAACCATTCATTTATACATTTTTCAATGACTGAAGGTTAAATATCCTCGAACCGTCAACCATCAAAAGTGTTAAATTTAAACAGCAATTAATCAGTTAATGCATCTGGTGCCAATAACTGTATGATTAATTAATAAATTAATTAATTTTTAATCAATTAATTAATAATAATAATAACAATCAGCTGTGATGCACAGTAGTAACGTGACTGTAACAGCTTTAAATTATGAATTATGAATAAAATTATGAAATTATTCAATAATGAATGAATTAATTAACTAATTAAGCAATCAATTTTAATATATTTTTACCTTTTTTCTTCTACTCCTCGAAGCAATGATGCAGAGAAAGAGGTTGAAGATGGCTATGGAGGGAGAGGATCTGACCCAGAGGATTGTACTGGTAGATGCTAAGTGCCGTAAAGACGACGACGATGATGAGTTGGTGGTATTTTCTCTGAAGTCTGGTGAAACAATTTTATTGAGAAAGTGAAAATGTAATGGGAAATTTATCATTTGGTTAATTTAGTGTTATAAGAATTGAAATATAGCATGCATTAATAGTATGAGTTAATGAATTACTTACAGGTGTGTGTGTGTGTGTGTGTGTGTGTGTGTGTGTGTGTGTGTGTGTGTGTGTGTGTGTATAGTATTAATTGTTCCATTTTATCATTTTATTGCCATTAATTCTTTGATAAATATTATTTTTATTGGCGTCGACAAACACACACATTAAAATTTAAGATGAAGAAAAAGACAAAAATCTATTTCAATATCTTTATTGCTGAACGAACTTGCATGTAATTATGTAAAGTTTGTAAGAGCCATTTCAAGAATCCTGTCAAATAACACGTGGTTTTATATTAATTGCATTCTAGAATTTTAGTAACTGTCACTTTACACACTCTTTACAAGCCCGCGGCTTTTTTAGAGACCCCTTAAAATAGAGGCCCGTGCCAAATGAACACCCCTGACCACCATTCGGCAAAGTCTGTAGTTATGGATAATAAAAATGTGTTATTATTGTTGTTATTAATTTTATTATTATTATTATTATTATTATCATTTCTTTTGTTTCAGATGGGTTTTCTAATTATTCTTTTGTTACTATTTAGTAGTTGTGATTGTCGTTAATGTCGTCTTCCATGTTGTTGCTGTTGTTGTTGTTGTTACTGTTGTCGTTGTTATCACAATTTTTGTTGTTGTTGTTGTTATCGTTGTTGTTGATGTTATCGTTGTTGTTGTTGATGATGTTGTTAGCACCTATATCATCATCATTTTTATCATTATCGTTATTAGTGTTATTGTCGTTGTTGTTGTTAATACTGTTGTTGTTGTTGTTGCTGCTGCTGTTGTTGTTGTTGCTGTTGCTATCTTATCTCCGTTGACCTCATCGCCATCAGTTGTACTATTTTTGTTATTGTTATTATTATTATCGTTGTTGTTGTTGTTGTTATTATTGTTGTTGTTGTTGTTGAGGATGACAAAGTTATTATTTTCCTTTCCGCTTTCCATGTTATTGTTCACATCGTTGACTATTAGACGATTCTTCGGCGGAAATACTAAATCTACATAAATTAAATTATTATTATTATTGCTGTTGTTATTGTTGTTGTTGTTGTTGTTATTATTATTATTTTCGTTCTTTTTCAACTGTACAACTGTTGCGTAATGGCTCTCTTCCGTGATTGGTCGATTAATTATTTCGTTGTTGTTGTTGTTGTTGTTGTTGATGTTGTTGTTGTTGTTGTTTCTTTTTCTGCAAAATGACAAAAAATAACTTTAATTGTTTATGAAACCAAATAATTTTAATGAGATTACTCCGGATGAAATCAATCAATCAATCAATCAATCAATTAGCTTATAAAGCGCTATTTCCGCGATGTTCAACAGCGCTCCTCAATGAATTTGCAAACAGATGGT